TAGGTACCGGCTGCCACGTGTGGCCGTCTACCCAGGCCCCTGTCCCCCGGCCCCTGCCAGCCCCGCTCCGGCTTCCTCTGCCCCAGCCGGGCTTCCACCCCTGGAGGAGACCAGAGCTGGGGCGTGCGTGGCATGGAGCTTAGCTCAGGGCCCTAAGTCCTTTCCTGACCGGCCTCCACCCAGACCACCAACCCCACTCTCAGGACACCCTTCATGACTCAGCCCCAATGCCACCTTCTCTGCTCCCCACTGGCCTCCATATTCCTCAGAGCCTTAGCAGCGGTGCGTCCCTGGTGGCCAGATCCCAGCTTCCCTACATGGCAGTCACTCAGGTCCATGCATCACCCTCCTGCCCAAGAGGTCAGTGCCTGCGGGATGGAAACACAGATGGTCCCGCTGGGGTCAGGAAGGGAGTGCCTGTTCACTGACTCCCTCGTCCCAACTCTGATGTATCCCCTCCTCCTGCGAGCAGGGCCCCATCTGCCTAGTTCATCACCTCAAACCAGGCCAGCCCACGGTAGGGGCCCAAAAAGTAAACACTGAGCTGAATCAGCACATCTTAGGGAGCGAGATGGCAGGGACCCCCCAAGCATCGCAAGGGGGAGTGAAATCCGGACAACTTCAAAGGGGGAGGGGCGTGGGGGTGGGCAGGGCTCTCAGAGCGACAAAGGCTTCCCTACCCTGACCCAGCGATCCCTCTTCTAGGCATCTGCCCACAGGCGAAGTCACACGTGGGGGCCAAAATGTCTGTACAAGCATCTTCAGACAGCACTGATTCTAAGAGCAAAGGATCAGAAACAACACAGACCGTTCATTGAAAGGGGGCTGGTAAATCCACACAGTGGGAAACAGTGCAACGTTTACAAACTGAATGGAAAATTCATGTTCTGATGGGAAGTGATCACGGAGATGCATGGACTGTAAAAAGCAGAGCGCGGGGCGGAGAGTGGCACGCCTCCGCCTGGGTGAAGGAGGGGTGTGTGCGTGCCGGTGGGTGAGGGCTCGGCATACACAGGGCGCCCCTGGAAGTGAAACGGAGCAGGACCCTGCGGGGCCTTCCCAGGACGGACTCCGCCCTCCCACGCCCTCCGCCGGACTCCTGCTGTAGAAAAACTTTAGTCAAAGAATAAGTTTAATTAGAGAAATAAGAAAATACTGAAACAAAGGAAAACGGTCAAGCAAAACAAAATAATAGTTTAGTCATTAAACAAAGTCGAGGACCTTTAGCTCCCCGTCAAGGGCTATAGGTCACGCCCTGAGCCTTCTCCTCTGAGCCGTCGTGTAGGGCCTGAAACCCCCACCAGGCGGAAGAAAGTAGCTACAAGATGACCAGACTGCAGCCGTGACAGACACTGCCACAATTCCTAGAACTGGCTTCCAGGAAATGGGAACAAACCGACCCTGGAGCTGAGCTTAAAATGAACAAGATGACGCTGATCAGAGCCCCGCACGGCTCACTTCAAGACGACCGTCAGAGCCGACTGCGCAGTTCTGCACGTGGCCCCTCCCTCCGCCTGTGCCCCCCGAGACTCCCTTTTAAGAGCTCTTGCCCACTGACGGGCAGAGGGGGGAGCTGGCCCGTGGACAGGAGTCGGCTCCCCACCCCCTCCTCCAGATGTGGGCATCTGGAATAAAGCAAACTCTCCTTTCTACCAACACGCACCTCTCTTTGCATTGGCTTTCCGGCAGGGAGGAGCCTAAGAAACCTGGGGTCACGTTCGTCTCTGGGGAGGGAAACCGGAAACGGGGGGGGGAAGGAAACCTGCACTGCGTGGACCTCTGTGCTTTCTGAATTTTGAAGCAGGAAAATGTCTTCCCTCCACTAAAAACACAGGTTCAGTGGAACAAGAAAGTCGCAGTAGGATTTCAAAACAGCAACATCTTCCACTGGGGGATTATGGAAAGACGTGTGTCCACCCCTGTTTCTTACCCCGGCCCTACCCTGGGCCTTTTCCCATGGGTTGCCCCTGCCTACAAAGCCTCCCTCCCTGGCTGGGCCCTGCTCATCTCCTGGGCCCATTTCGGCTGGCACTTCCCCCAGGAAGCCCTCCCTGACTCCTCCCTCGCTGGTCAGCCACTGCTCTGTGCCCCTGGACCCTGCATTCTCCTCCACACCCTGCTCCTGCCCCTTAGTCTTGGTCCACCTGCATATCTATCCCCCCAGGAGCCTGGAGGATGGGGACCTGGAGTGAGATCCCTGAGACCCAGCCCCCAGCCCCTCACCTGCCTAGGCAGGTGCTCAGGGAAATATCTGCTGGACAGACTGCTTTGTCACACTAGCAAGATGCCTCCCAGAAGAGCCTGGCAGTGAATCAGGCACAGGGAGAAACTGTGCTCAGCACTTGAACCACCGGGCTCACAGCATTTACCTCGCTGTGTCCAGGGCTCCGCTTTGCATAGCTCAGCCAGGCACCTCCAAGAGGGCCACCATTGCTGCTTGCTGACAGCCCATCTGACAAATTGTTTTCTGCCGCAGCGGCCGGGCTGGCCCATCTGGCTGGTCTCCAGAGGCCTCGGGTCACTCACGAGGGCGTTCCTGGCACATGGGGTGGCCACAGCCCCCTCCTGCAGGCCAGGTTCCTGCCAGATCCCACTCGGTTGTCTGAGCACGTCCTGTCCCCAGCCTGGGAACATCTGATAGGTCGAGCCCTGGCTGCATCAGGCCCACCGAGGGGGCGGCAGGGGAACACGGGGCTCCTTCCTAGGGCTGCGGTGCACAGCTGAGATCAGGACAATGCCAGTCCACCATCCACCATCACAAAATTTCCACCAGAAGGAATCACAGCACAAAGCAACAGCCCAGCTCGAAGAGATCCAAGGTGCCAGCCGCAGGCAGATTCACGGCTCGGGTTAATACGTAGCTCCTGGCTGCAGAACGTAATTTATCATTGAATCATCCTGTTACACTGCACAGATCGCGGTGGCTCCTTTAAATGGATTTGCGGGTCACCTCTCTGCTGAGGCCCATACTGTCAGCAGAGGCCAGAGGGAGCACTTAAGTGACAAGACGAGATGTCTGAACCTGGCGGGAGTGCCTGGAGACCAGAAATGGCCTTGACTGCCTGGGGCGGGCTCGGCCCCGCGGCCAGCTGCTGCTAACCCAACGTCACCAGTCCAAAGACGTCTTTAGCGTCTTCCTAATGCTCAAAGCTACAGGCGTCTTCCCAGATAGAAGGGGGGAAGAGGCCAATAGAGAAGAGAGCAAACCAACATACCGACCAGCTCCGCAGGTCACCGAATGATAGGCAGTTACGAGTTGAACTGGGAAAAGTGATGACAACAGTAGTTTCCAATCTGGGGCCTCCCTGGGCAGCGGTGATGGGGCCGCAGGGTTTCCAGGAGGTCCCGGAGGTCGAATGTGGGCATCTACTTTGGTTCCATTTCCCAGCACCTACTCGGGACCTGGCGAGCACATGATGGTTAAACTAAATGCTTACGGAACAATGAATGGGCAGGTCCATTGGGAAACCAAAGGAATTGCTGACTTGGTGACCCATCACACGTGCTGCGGGCTAAAGAAGACGGTAGCCGCTTGGCGAGCGGATGCTCCCTCACTGGTGTGCTGTTCTGACGGCTCGGCAGCTCCCCGGTTTTTCTCAAAATAAATCCATTCATTTCATCATTGCACTACGATTCGGTACATGATAAGGTGTTCACACTGAGGGAAGCTGGGTGAGGGTGTGGGAACTCTCCACACTTTCCATAGCAACATAAAAAGTTAAAATCCAGTAAAATAAAATCAATATCCTTTGCCTACTGCCCCGGGAGCCCTCGGTTTCTTGTTCTGGTCCCTCCTCGCCCTTACACGACAACCGCTCCCAAGAGGGAACGAAATCAGGACGGTAACCCTGACCTTCCCGCTAGCTCGTCACCAGCCCCTCCCAAGGAGGGAGGTGACGTCTCTGATGGGTGAGCCTGGGGACAGGGTCTGGGCGCACGCAGCCCAAGGCCCTTTGACTCTCTTCCTGGGCCCTGAGGATGGAGGTGTTCTTCTCCCACATTTGGGTCCCACGCCTGCGTCAGGGGAGAGTCCTGTTCCGATTGGGGCTGAAGCAGTGACTCTGCTTGGCAAAGGGCTTCTCTGCACTCCCCCTCTGGGGGCAAGGCCTAAATTCAGTTTCATGCCTCAGAGCCTCTGCACTTGCCGTTCCCTGTGACTACAACACCCTTCCCCACCTCACCCGGGTGCTGAACACCTGGTTGGGTCTAGGGACTCTGCTTAGCCGTTTCTTCCTGAATGACCTCCCATTCCCCAAAGTCAAGCAGAACTGGCCCTTCCCTCGTCTGCCTTGTCACGCACAGTTAACCACGGCTGCGTGGTGAGCTGTCTACACATTCGTCTCTCCTGTTGCCCCGTGAGCCCCCCGGGCAGGGACCGATGTGGACTCACCTCGTTCTCCATAAGTATCATGTTGCCTGGTGTATATGAAACGTCCATAAATGTCTGTTGAATGAATGAACTTATCTGAAAGTTCGGATTCGTTTTCATGTTTAAAACTGTACAATATATAATTATTTAAATCAAGCATTTCATCGGTAGACGCAAATTGGAGTGACCCCAGGGGCAAGAAAATAACGGAACAGTTCTCCGTGGCTGACAAAGTTAGGAGCTATTAGCTCAGTCCAGGGCCTCCCCACCCCGCACTGCTGACATTTGGACCGGATGACTCTTTGTTCTAGGAGGCTGTCCTGGACACTGTAAAGTGTTTAGCAGCTTCCCTGGCCTCTAGATGCCACTAGCAGCTTCCCAGTTGTGACAATAAAAATGTCTCCGGATCTTGCCAGGTTTTGCCCTGGGGTGGGGTAGGGGTGGGGTATCACGCCCAGTTGAGAACCTCCGGGCCAGTCGTTCAATAGGTTTTGGTGCAGGAAATATGCCCTTTGCTGCCTTGACATTGGCAAAGCCAGGCTCCTAAGAATTTGCAAGCCCAGTATTTCTCCAGAGCTCTGACAACCAACACAGATCCCAGCGCCACAGGCAAAGCCGCTGGCCACTGAATCAGGATTTTGATTGCTACCAATTTTTTAAAACGCTCTCTGAAAGTTCTGCTTCAAATATTTATGGCGTCTGTGAAATGGCCCTGGAGAGTGAGTGGTCTTACTCAGTTTATAACTCCAGCGGTGATTTATTGACCTGGGAACTGCGGCTGATGCTTTGTCTAAGCTCTTGGTGCAAAGCCAGGATCCTCTCGGGGCTCAGGAGTTCGGGGGATGGTGGGAAGGCGTTGGCTTGGAGGACAGGGCCGGTCATTCCGCCTCTTTCCTGCAGACCTTGCAGAGGGAGCCCTGGTTCCCCAGGGACTGCAGCCGGGCACATTCCAGGGTCAGGCGTCGTTCCCGAGGGCCCGGGAAGCTGGAGGGAGGAGGACAAGGAGACGGTCTCTGCTTTTCTACGTCCACAAACCCCTCCCATCCCCCATTCTACCCAAGGAAGAGATGGCAGCAATACGAACACTTAGTGAGCACTTTCTGCGCCCAGCACCTTCTATTATAGTTTGCGGAGACACAGCCATCAACGCTGTGTGAACGGAGACTGGGGAGGCGGAGGCTCGAGCCCCACGTCATCGAAAGGCCTGACAGCCACCGATGGTCTCCCCATAGAGTGATGTCCTCTATCAATTTTGTTGTTCACGGTGACAAGAGAAGGTGACCTTCCCGTGAAAAGGAGATCAATGTCTGCTGGATGCCAACCTCACGCTCCCTTCTTTTTTTTTTTCTCTAAGCTCAACCATAAAATGATGGTGACATGTGATAAAGTTAGTTACTGCCCTTCAAAAATGACCTCATTTTGCTTATAGGTCACTAACCCGCCGGTGTAGCTGTTTAAAGAGTTCGTTTTCACCGCAGGAAGCTCTTACCCAAAGCCAGCCCAGATAGATGGCTTGCAATCTGTTTTTCTGCAGGCCAGAGAGCTCGGCTCCTGAACGCCAGTCACGACCGGACAGAACCAAGGCCGCGGGTGAAACGCAATGTTGGGACGAGGACGAGGTGACTGCATGACCTTCTAGAGAACAGCCCACCGGCCCCCTCCCACCTCCTCATTATTTATCCAAATTCACCCTCCAAGGCCTCCTCTGGGCCAGGAAATGTTAAAGCATGGGAATAAAGACACTTACACTGACCCTTCTGCCATCTCGTTATAAAGAACCAAAAGTATCCTGTGGGCTTGAAAGTATGTCCAATAGAGTTCTGATCCAGTGGCGTCTACACTGTGGTGAGAACTTCGAAGAAGGTTGCAGAACACTTGAGAAACTCAGAACCATAAGATTAAGAGGCACTTCAGTTCATCCATTCATTCAACTGACACTCCTACGGTTTCCTGAAAAGCTTTGCTGTGAGTTTCTGGCCAGTAGCCCTGAGAGCAGACGCTGGAGGGTTTTTGTTTCACATTAAACTCCAGACTGGAACGCCGAGGGGGGCAGGAGAGACAGCTCTTAGCCGAGGGGGGCAGGAGAGACAGCTCTTACCCGCATCCCCTGCTCCCCGGAAGGCCAGCACGATCCGGACACGTAATGACCGAGCGCCAGCCCTAGGGCCGGGCTGCTCGGGCTGGAAGCCCAATCCTGCCTCTCACGAGCTGTGTGACCTGGGCTAGCTGGTCGCCTCCTCGGGGGCTCATCTCCTCTCCTAGGTGAAGCAGGGCTGATGCCCAGGTCCAGCCGGAGCGCCCGCTGTGAGTGCCGGATAAACTGACGCACTGCACACAGGGAACATTCAAGAAATGGGGGTGGGGTTTCTTCCTCAGGTTGTTCTTGTCAACACCGCCATCAAGATCTCCTAGACTCCTCTCCCCTTTATGCTGCAGCCGCGTTTAATTGCTTGCCTTCCCCCAGGGCTTCGGGGGAGCTGGCCCCTCTGCCTTTGCAGGCCTTGCTCCCTGTGCCTAAAATGCCTTCTACCTGCTTTGTGATAAGGTAGGTCAAAGATCAAAGGTCAGACGTAATTTCCCTAGAAAAAGATCAAAGCTGGAAAGAAGTTCTCATTACTAAGCAATAAGCCTGTAGGACAAGTAATTCGAAATGAAAGTCACCCACCAGGAAAAAAAAAGCTTAAGAAGGTCAGTAACAATGGCTGTCATTCACTGAACACCACCTTGCAGCAGGCGGGACGGTAATTACATGATGTGCACGATTTCATTGAATTGCTCCAAAGACCCTGAGAGGTAAATATCAACTCCATTTGTTAGATTAAAAGAATTCATATAAGCATGAAGGCAGGTGAGAAGCCACAGGAATAAAAGGCAGAAGAAAACCAATAATAAAAGGTTGAGATAAAATGCTAAGAATAAGATCAGTTTCCCCCTGAGCGATGGCTGCTTTTATTCCCCTTGAGCATCTCTTGTGTCCCAGACATGTATTCAACTCTGCTTACCTGATTTTATCCTCACAACAGCAGTAGGCGGCATCATCCCCATTTTATAGATGAGGAGACTGACACACAGACATAGTAAGTAATCCTCCCCGCATTACCAGAATTACAGCTGAGATTTGAGCTCAGGCCTGGCAGACTCCAAATCTCATAAGTAAAATAGGTTTTCTCTGGGAAAACAGAGTGCTGCTCTGGGTCCAACTGATTAGGACATTTTGGACCAAACCTCCAGTAAGTGCAAGTAGGAGAGTTGGACAAAATATAGCAAAACAGCTACTGAAAAGCATCTGAGAGCTACAAAGACTGTGAGGATTTGTGGGACTTAGATTTGAAACAGGAAAGAAGCCAAGAGGAGCTGGTGCAGAATTGAAGGCTGTATCTCCCCTCCAAGTGAAGGCAGAACTCATGTGTGAGGGAGGCAGCTGAGAGGTGGAAAGCTAAGCAGAATTTTTGACAGCCTCATGGGGAGGGCTGGGGCCAGGGGAAGGACACTGATAAACATTACAGGCTTTTGCTGGGGACCTGGAAAGGCTGTGCCCTAGGAGTAAGAGTGAGCAAGAAATAAAGCAGGTCTCATAAGTACTAAACTCATCTCTGAATCAGTTCTGATGTGAGAAACAGAGGAAGTCCTGTCTGGGTGAAAACACTCTCAAACAGAACCTCAGATTCTGTCTTCAAGTTTTCATGCGTGATGTCTAGCACTCGGTGAAAAATTACCAGACACAGAGGACGCAGTTTGACAAAACCACAAAATTAAAAAACATAATAAAAAGAGACTAGAAGGGGGAACCAGCAGGGAGCTTTGTGGTGTTGGTCATTTTCTAGTTCTTGACCTGGTGGTGGCTTTAGGGGTGTGTTTCACTTCATAACAATTCACTGAGCTGTACACTTTCCAGTGTATCCTTTTCTGTATGCATGTTGTACTTTCAGTGAAAATGTTTACTTAAGAAATTAAGTGATTGATGTCCTCTCACCTTCAAAGAATCCAGTCGAGCTGTCTGTACTGGCCACTCAGTCTCAGGAATAGGCCGGGACTCTGAATGCAAAGGTCTTTGGAGGACACCGTCCATTTCGGGATTCAGGAGGTATCTCTGAACTAGAAGAGAATATTCTCAGTCAAGCCTCAACCCATAAATCTACTCTAAAAATCAACAAGTCTCTGAGCCTTTTTCATTCTCTTTCATTTCCTGATCCCCTTAGCCCACAACAGAGGCCCTCTTGGATGCCTCTGAACTCTCTGAGTGCCACATCCACACCCCTTTGATGGTACTATCATGGTCTTGGGGTACCTTAGAAAACTGCCTGCTTCACCTTCCATCACACGGCTGCAAGCTCCTTCAGCACAAGGACCACCACCTCTGCAGGGCGACACGTCTATGTAAGTCCAACACCTACCTGGGGTCTGGCGCAAGGCAGCCTCCCAGAAACGCTAAATGAGTAAGTAACTAAATCAATCTAGTGCATTTCCTTCTTTTAAAAGTGAGGAAGCTGAGCCCAGAGAAGGGAGAAGACTTGCACAAATTAGTGGCAGAAGCAGGACCAGCCTCTTTTTATGCACCTCCAACTGTGAAAACAGAAACCAACCCAGACTGTGGAGATAGGAGATGAAGGTACAGGAGGGCAGGCCCATCCTGCCCAGCAAGAAACTGAGGACAGGTCTCTCTTCTTGTCTGTTGGCGTCTGGCAACATGCCAAGAACTAACGTTTCTGAAAAAGGTCAAGTTATCTTCCTTTTAAAGAGGAGAGTCTGGGGCTCAGAGAGGTTAATGGACCCATCCAAGGTCATACAGCTAGTAAGAGCAGAATCTAGTCGTAAGAATCGCCAAATGAGCAATTATCAAGAGCAGCTCAGTCATATAACGGTAACGCTGTCCATACTTTCTTCACTTTTATTCTGAGCACCTGACATCAACATAGCCCTAAGTAAATCCTTGGGCCCCCCAGCACCCCCCATGCTGACAGTACTCTGCCTGATAAAACAAGGCCCAGGGAAATTCTGGCTGGCCAGAGAGCATCTTAGTTTTCTTTTTAACAATAAAAATAATAGAACAACAACAACAAAATCCCCCATCTAAGGAGGTTACCATCTAAATAACCATGGTGTATTTGAATTTATCTTCGAGCCCAAGTTGCCATTCACCTACAGACGTTCACTTGCAGTCTATCATCACAGTCACCCAGTGCAATCCACTTCCTACCCTTTTTTTAATTTAGTAGAATGCCACCATTTCTATGCGACCACATGGCGCGTCTCGGCATCGTTTTAGTGGCCGGTATTTCATACTCAGCGAACACACGGTAATTAACAATACCGGAGTTTTCCCCACGATTTTTCACTATTACAAATACCCTGGCATGAATACACTTGTCCACTGGGCTTTTCCACACATAGAATTATTTACTTAGGATAAATTTCCTGAAGTGAAACTACCGGGCTGTGAGCTTGGCCACTTCTGCAGCAGCAGTATTTTGCTAACGCGTGGTCCTTAGGTAGGGAAGTGAAAATGCAGAGCCACGCAGGGAAGAGAGGGCGAGACGGCGGGGTCTGGTCTCTTTAGTCGTCTGCACTTGACCGTGGGTGTTTTCCTACCCTGATCCACCTGTCAGATTGTCCTGCTGGCCTGGACTGTGTCTGAGCACGCAGGCTATTCCCAAATGAAAATCGCACTGACCTCTCACTACTGCTGTCTTCTCAGAGCCGACGTCCAGGTGGTGGCTTGTCTGGAAGAAAAGACATCTCGGCACTTATTCTGCGTGACACAGGAGGGAAAGCCTTACACAGATGACTACAGCTGGAAAAGCTGCCCCCACCAGCCCTGCAGAAAGTGCATTCTAGGACCAGATCCGCTCCTCCCCCCCGTGTGCGAAAATGCAGGCAGGACCCCTCCTTCCTCCACCCACAACCCTCAGGGGAGTCCAGGATTTGCTCCTAGGGAATACAGGCACGAGGAAAAGCTTCCATTTCCTTTACTCCGAATTGAAGCTCCAGACAGAGATTGATAAATGTGTTTTTAAAACTGCTGTTCAAAGAGCTGGGAAGCCGGGAAGAATGAGACAGCTGGACGGCAGAGCTTTCAAGAGGAATTCTCTGCACCCCGGCGTGGGCTGGTTGTCCTCCTGTACCCCACAGCGCATGTCTGGAAGAGGTGGGGCGGCAGTGGGAACTTAGCTGCTCCGCCCAGTGACCCCCAATTGGTTCAAGAAGAGCAACAGCTGAATCTTCAAGGCAGGTCAGAGTTGACTCCAGAGCAGCAGCCCAGGTCTTTCTGCCTGTTGGGTTTTCCGGTGAGAAAGGGGCCCTGAATGCAGGATACCTTTTGATACCTCTTCCCCCATCTCCACTGTGTCCTTTAAGTATTTGCACCAGCCACCTCCCTGCCTGCAAGAACGCTTTCTCCTTCTCCAGTGAGCTTCTATGTATACGTCAATACCTAAATCAAGTGCCCGCCCCCACCTCTGTGAAGTCTTCCCTGATTCCACCTGCCTCTCCCATAGCCCCTACACGCTGCACTGTGACACCTGGGCTCTGTGACTGTCCCTCTAAAATGGAATGACTAATCCAGTGCAAGGGCATGGATTATGGCCCAACCATCTTCCAATGCTACTCCAATCCCACCACCACTTACTGGGAGCCTTCAGTACCAGGCCCAGTGCCTGTTCTCTTACTGTGCTAACTGTTCTCAGAGCACTTCATTTATATCCCCTAAAACTGTGTCTTCAAGTACCATGACCCTTCATACCCCAGGGCCTTTGTACATGCAGGGCTCTCAGCCTAGAGGGCCTTCACTCCATCCTTCCAGCTATTAAAATTCTTTTTTTATCCTTCAAGGCCCAGTTTGGGTGCTTCCTCCTCCAGGAAGATGTCCCCTAGTCAGTCTCCCTCTCTCTGCTCATGGCTATGCCTCAGATGAACGCTTTTGTCTGCACCCAGGTTTAGAGTCTGTCTTATTAGGTGCAGACTCCTTCAACTTGAAAATGAGATTTCGTTGACTTTTGTATCCACAAAGTAGCCTCATGGACACCAAACTGACTCCTGGGGGCACTGAATTCAGCAAGTGATCTGAGATCTAGAGCTCTTTCCCTGCCTTCCTGCTCCTTTTTTATCCCGTCGGCCTGGAGAGGCTCGGAGCCAGGCAGTCTCCGGTTGAGTCCTGGCTCTGACACTTACTGGTTCTGTGGTCTTGGCCAAATCAGCTGAGTTCTCTGAGCCCTGCCCTCTCCATCTGCAGAATGGGGCTACTAATATACTCCTTATAGGGTTTTGTCAGAATGGAATGAGAACGAATGTTTACTAAACGCTCCCCACAGAGTGGCAAAAGGGCAAAGTCTCGCCCTACGCATCCCACGCCCCCATCTCTCTCCCCAGGTAAACATTTGGGGGAATACTCAAAACTTCCTAAAAGGCGGGAGATAAAGAGAAAATAATTGCCCAGATCCTTAGAGGTGCAGACCTGGGGTTGCTGGTTTGATGAATTAAGGGAGTTCAGGGCCTTAGTCTCACTGCTCCCTGCAGGATGAGAGTCCGTTCCCGAAGGCCCAGAGAGACAGCTTGTGGGCCAACACTCAGAGGAGAGCGAGGTGTTTCTGGGACGTGGAGCAAAGAGAAAAAAGCAGGGCAAGAGGGCGTGGAACTGGCAGCTTCCTGGCCAGGTCGTGTGCATGTCTCCAAGGCTGGGGTCTGGATGACCCTCTGGTGCTGGCACACAAGACCCTGACCTCCCCCAGCAGAGCAACACTTTGGTTCTGCCCAAAGGGACCCTACATCTTCTCTGAGTGCTTTTATGCGATGGCGCCATGATGGGCATTTGATGTCAGGTCTTGTTCAACCCTCGCAGGGCCTTACAAGAAGTCTGCACTTCCCACCCCTTGCAACCAAGGCATGAGAGAGTGGACAGCTTGGGGAGGCAAAGGCTGAGCACCAGGGCCACAGGTGGCAGGTCTGCGGGATCTAGGGTGTCTTGATCTGCCAGGTGAATCTCCATGCCTGGAGAGAGGACTGGAGCTCACATCCGAGGAAGTGCAGGGCCAACCCATCCACTTCTCCGATGGGTCTTCCACTTACTGAGCTGACCCAGGCCAGACTCCGGCGGAGGTTGGCCAAGCACACAGCCACGGGCAGGAGGGCACCCCTGTTCTACCTCCCTGGGGCACCCAGGCATCTGCCTCCAAGGAGGGGATGACGCCCACGTACAAGCAACAAAGAAGGCTTCTCATTCTTGGCTTGGGAATGACAACAGTCTAGGTCCTGTGAAATTCAGAAAAAATAGGTGTCCTGGGGCGGGGGGGTCGGGGAGGAAGCAAAGGGGCCCTGAGAAGATGCCCTGAGACCCGCCCAGTCAAGCCAGTCTGGGGGCTGGGGTGGAACTGAGAACCCCCAGAGAGGCTTTAGGAACCTAAGAAAGGAAGGAACCTGCCTTCCCCTTGCTCCTGTCTCAGCCAAAGCCAGGGAGGCAGCTAGTCCCAGTGTTCCCAGATGAAAGACAGCGGCGAAGCCGGCCAGGCCGACCTCATGGAGCCCCTCTGCTTCAGGACCAGCGCCCGGGCTGGAGAGAACCAGCAGAGCTGCAGGAAGCACGCCAGGGTGGATGCAAGACTGACCCACAGACAGCGGCGGCCCAGACACCAAGGGGTGGGCGGTACAACGGCTAAGGAAGATGGCAGCTCCGAGGGCTGGGCAGCCCCCATCCATGTGTCTGTCCTTGTCGCTTAGTGGTGTGCACTGAATGTCTGTGTCCCCAGAACTCATAGGCTGAAAACTTAGCCTCCATGGGAAGGCATTTGGAGGCGGGGTCTTGGGGAAGAGTCCTCAGGTGGAAACTGCCATTATGAGAAGCAGTGTGAGAGCGCTGGTTTTTCTGCCCACCACATGAGGACACAGCATGAAGGTGGCCACGCACGCAATCCATCCGTGCCGGCGCCTGGATCTCTGACTTCTAGTCTCCAGGGCTCTGAGAAAGCAATGCTTCCTGTTTAAGCCGCCCAAGCTGCTATAGTTTGTCTTCCTTCCTTCCTTCCTTCCTTCCTCCCTTCCTTCCTTTCTTTCCTTCTTTCCTTCTTTCCTCTCTTTCCTTCCTTCCTTCCTTTCCGTGGGGAAGGGGGAGGTAACTAGGTCTGCTTATTTGTTTCATTATTAAGGTTTTTTTTTTTAATGGAGGTACTGAGAATTGAACCCAGGACCTTGTGCATGCTAAGCACACACTCTACCGCTAAGCTATACCCTCCCCTCCTGACATCACCCACCCAACCAGGGTGAGAAAAGGAAGTCGTTGGAAGCTGGACACTGACCCCAAGCCACCACTGTGGGCATGTGCACCGTCTTACTGAAAGGGAGCTTTGGGAGCTCAGATGGACCCTGGCTCTGAACCCCAGCCTGCCCTCCTCCTGCGTGGACCAGCTCTTTGATGACCCCGAACCTCAGTCTCCTCCTTGACGACTCTGAACCTCAGTCTCCTCCTTGACAAAGTGGGATGTTGGGAGAATGAAGTGAGTGAACCATGGAAAGTGCTGGCTCAGGGAAGGCTCTGTAAGTCTCGGCCGTCATCACCGCTTCCAGTGAATTAACGAACGGGCCGGGGCGCCTGTCCTGGTGGGCCCCCCCGCAGCCCACACCCCGTCCCCCCTCAGATATCTGTGGTTGGTGTGAGCTCCCTCCCAAGCAGAGCCTGAGAATGTGGGCCTCCCGGGGCCCAGGGCCTCCCAGAGGTGTTTCCGTAAGGCCTCACTCACAGGCACGCCAGCCTCAGGGCTCCCAGGACCCGCCCTCTCCGCTGTGGCTCATCCCACCCGAGCCCATCAGTGTCTGCCCAGCCAGCCGGGCAGCCCTCCTGGGCTCTGAGCCAGAGCCAGTGTCTCCATCGGGAACTCCATCTGTGTTCTCTGAGACGAGAATCGGCACCCCTAAAACCCACTTCCTGCCCGCCTGCCAGCGGGAGGAGCTGCCACCACTGCCACGAGGGTCTCCGTGTCCCCAGAGCTCCGCTCAGCGACCTGGGCCCTGGGAGTTCATGGCCAAGCCATCCAGCTGCGGACTCTGCAGCTCAGTCTAGCCCACACGCCCGTGGGTTCAACCTCCTAAAGCACATCGGGCCTGTTCCAACCCCTTCAGCTGCTCCGCACTCACTGAAGAACCAAGTGCCAACACCCCCGCTGGCAGCCAGGTGTTCGTGACCTCCCGTCCGGCCTCTCGAAACTCCTCCACTCAGGACCCCCCTTACTCCGGCCAGCCTGGGGCCCTCTTCGTTTGTTAAACACAACACCGGGTTATTTTTTCACTGCCTTACATCTGCACACTGAGGACTGGCCCTCCAGCGACAAGAGGGACTGACTCACTGAGGGCCCCGTGTGCATGTGCCAGATCTCCTGCCACCGCCCACGGTCCCCATCACGCTGCACGGGGGTCGCAGTAGCCAGGACTGCGCAGAATCCTACTGCCAGGTTCGGATCCCGCTCTGCTTCGGCCAAGTGACCTCATATATCAAGTGCTGAGCTAGAAAGCCACTTACAGATGTGACTTTGGGCATGACTTATAACCTCTTTGAGCCTCAGTTTTCCCATCTGGAAAGGGGGCTAACAATGGCATCTTCCCCACAGAAGGACTACCTGAGTCTCTTACATAAAGCACCATGGTAACTGGTACATGGAAGTGGCCTCTCCTAAGGCCACAGATCTAGGCAGCGGCAGAGCTAAGATTTGAACCCAGGGCTCCTGGATGTCAGAACTCCCCCATTGCCTTGACAGCTGCCCACACCAGGCCCAGGTTCCTACCCCCCGGGACAAGGGGCTCTACAAGTTATCTCAATCCATCCCCACGTCAATTCTGTCAGGTGGGCTGTACTGTTCCCATTTTATGGACAAGCAAACTGAGGCTCAGAGTAATTCAGGTCTTGCTCAAGACACACAACTACCCAGCAGAATAGTCAATCTCTGCCTAAGTCCTTTCTCCTTATTATAACTTACGATGATTATTTCTCTCCTTGTCTTCTTGTACATTTTGGCCAGTCTGGTTCACCATTTCTCCCCAGCGCCTGGCACCATGCCTGGCTCGTGGCAACAGGTGTTCAATAAATATTTGTGGAATAAAATGCAGAGCCAGGTTTTTGTGATTTGTGGAGGGCATGGTGAGTTGCCTCCCAGGTGGTGGAACTGAATTGTAAAATAATGCAAAAATGGGTCACAGCAGATTCAAAGTCACGGAAGCTCATAACTGGCCGTGGACTTTCATAAAGTCTGGGGCGGGGACACCCTAGCCAAAGGGAGGCATGTCCAGGCCCAGGAGCAAATCTCTATGGGAAATGAATGTATCAGGCGGATGAGACCATTAACCCTCTCTGTTCTTATTTCAGGCTCCCAAATGACCTTCTGACTATAAACGTTTATTGACTTACAAATGAACAAATGAATGAATGGACTTGACTTTCCAGATAATTCCACTATTGAGAAAGAATATGCTGATAGTTTTCCATCCATCATTTCAGTATGAAAAGCCTGCCCATAGTTCTGGTTCTTAGAGGAAATTAACCAGTTAGTCTTCAGGTTTATACCTCAGTCTCTGTGAATTTGGTCAATAGGAGTCAGCCTGTCCAATTCCAGTGAACAAATTGGTTCTAGTTTCAGAGCCTGTAAGACTAAGAGCAGCCCTTGGAGGGTAGAGCTCTCACTACAATGATGACACCATCTCAGCAGACAGCCAGTCCCCCACCCAGGTGACACCTGCTGCATCCAACAACTTCCCTGGAACTTTGCTTTCAGTCCTGCCTCAGCTTACACACAGGGACTATGCCAGATCCCTAGACGAGGTGCTGACACTCTCCCCATCCTTATTCTGCCTCTGAAGAGGCCTGAAGCCCTCAGGCAAAGGGACAAGCACTGGACTGGGAGTCTGGGATCTGGATCCAAATTCTGTCTCTGAACCAAGTTGCTGTGGCCCTGAGCAGTCCCTTTTCTCTAGGTTTCCACATCTTTAGCTGTGTGGTGCTTTGGACCACAAGACACCTGCAACTCTGGAGGCTGTGGGGCAAAGAAGGGACAGAGAGGGTTGGCCTGCAGAGGCCAGGCTGGGAAGGTAGAGGAGGAAGGCGCAGACCTGGTGCTACACTGCCAACAGTGGGAGCCCTGAGGCCAACTGAGCGATTCTGGAAAACAGGGCTGGCTGTGTCCACAGCAGCAGCTGCATTTCGCCCTCGCACCATCAGGAGCTGAGCTAGTCTGGTGCAGGCGCTGCTGGCTGCTCCCCAGGAATGGGGTTGTTCGCCCATGTGTGAGTGTATGTGTCTGTGAGCACGAGCAGGCTCAGCTCAGCACCCGCGAGGGCTGCGTGCACTCAGATGTCCAGATGCTGTTCAGAGCCAGGCGGAGACCCGGGAGTATCTTTATCAAACCTGGGTCAGAACTGGCATCCCTCACCACTTGTGTTACCTGGGAGCTGTGTGACCTTGAGTGAGTCTCCCAACCTCTCTGAGCCTCTGTCTCCTCTTTTGTTGCTCATTAGCAGAGGAGATCTTCATTTGTTTAGTTTATTACTTCATTCATTTAACAAATATTCCCTGAGTGGCTTTTCCGTGCCAGGCACTAGGGAGACAGAGATGGTTATGAAATGACCCTGGCTCCAGCAAAGAGGAGCTGACAGAACTCCCCCAACAGCAGGAGGGAGATCCTCCTATGTGCCATGTCACGCACATCTACGTACAATGAAAGACAGGGGCGGGGGCGTATGGCTAACCCTGTGGTCTGTAGGACCCAGGGTAGGCTCCTGGGCAAGGTCACATGTGAACTGTGCCCTGAAGGATGGATGGGTGGCTGCAGGTCAGACAAGAATCCTGCCAGAGGAAGTGGCAAGTGCTAAGGTCCTGAGGCACACATGAAAGAACCATCTGGTGAAACCATTGTCATGGTGCTTGTTTGACACTGAATGAAAGTCATAGTATTTGCCTGTCTCCTGCATCGTGTGTGTTGTGAGCACTTTTATAGGTTAAGGATGGCCAGATCACCTCCCTGGGCCAGCCCTGAGCACAGGTTGTCCAGGGTGTGTTTCGGGCAAGGTCAGTGGACAGAGGGAGGGAGTGAGGGACACTGCAGGTCAGGCAGGTAGGTGGGCAGGTGGATGAGCCCATAGTCCCCACAGGAAGAAGAGCAGGGCTGTCTGTGGGGATCTACCTTTGGGTCCCTGGGAGCCAGGAAGGTGGCTGCGTACTCGGCCAGGGCCGCGTCGTTCACCACGCTGCGCGCCATCTCGGAGAGCAGGTGATTCACCGCCCCATGTCTGTGCAGCTCCCGCAGCAGGTGTGTGATCAGGTGGTTCCTCTCCAGGCATTTCTGGACCAGAGAAGCCAGCTTGGCCTGAAAGGGTGGAAGCAAAGAGGCAGTCAGGTGGGTTCATGGTTGCAGAGCTCCCTCAGGGGCTGGATGACTGAGCTGGGGCAGCGGGGCTGGGGCATCGGCTCCTGACTCCATGTCACCAGCCCTGTCTTAGCTCAGCCTCCACCCTGCAATCCCTCCCTCCACCCAGAAGCCACAGCTGGCTTTGAAAACAAGCAGCCGCACTGCTGCCCACCTCTGGGGGCTCCCATACTGCTGTCTGGATGCCCCCTGGGTGGGTCAGCAGAGTGGACTTCAGCCCCACCTTCGACCAGCTATGAGACCAAGCTCCTCCCTACCCCTCGACTTGCTCATCTGTACAATGGGTGCGGTTAAGGGCACCAGAACAAAAGGAGACAGTGCAGGCAAACACTCCCACAGGGCTGGCCCAGGGGGGCCCTCATGCATCAAAGGTCTTAGACTGGCCCAGTCCGTGTGCCTGTCTGGCCCCGTCATGACGACCCTCCTTCTCACGTCCCCTGTTCCAGCCACGCTGGCCCACTCCGACACCCGACACCCAGGAACTTCCTCATCACTCCTTTGTGGCTCCTACATGTCCCAAGCACAGAAAAGCCTCGTGCAGATCTGCTCAGAGGCCGGCCTGGGCACCGCCTCCCTGTGCTCAGGGCTTCGGCCCCTCTGCGCTCAGGCCCCAGCTGCCTCTTTCCCAGCAGTTAATCTTTGTATTTGCAGGTCTGTCCCCCACATAGTCTGGGGGCTTCTCAAGGTCAAGGCCGACACTCCCCTGGACCCCTGGCTCCATCCCTGTCCCATGGTGGGGCACAGCATGCCCCCGGGGAGGCACTTGTTACGTGAACCACCTGAGTGCATGACACTTCTGCTGTGAAATGACTTCCCACGTCTCCGCGTGGAGGGAAGCATGTCTGGAGGGACTCAGACTCTCGTCACCTCCTGCTCCATTGGAGAAGGAGGTGATGAGGCCTTCCTGCCAGAACTCCCCTCCAAGCTCGTCCCAGAGGATCAGGGACGTTTGCACTTCAGTTTCTAGGCAG